ATGGACCGGATATCCAGTACTCCCTTTTACCCTAAATATCTATCGTTTTTGTTTCTCGAGAAACAACTTTAACTAAATATATATTAAAAAATATTATTATTAATGGTATATAATTAGTATTATTAGAAAGATCTTTGAATCTAGTTTTTAATAAATTTATTTGGAGATACAAATGTTGCACGCATTTTCTACAAATCAAGTCAAACTTGTGGCACGCACACCAATAACAACAGTTATTTAGGGACAAAGGGAGTAGTCCTGATTTATCCTATATATATGTAGATTCAATTTTATAATATTTATTGTAGTTGCCTCATAGATGCACAATCAACATTGGATTTATTTTAATTTTAACAAGCAATACTGTTGACGCTTCGGTGTCCGTCGTTGCAGTCGACACCTGTTGTAGGATCTCTCGAGACAGAGAGACAAGGAGGTAGCTCAGGACCTGTTGGTCCTTCGCCACCCATGTGCTGTACTCCTTGTTCGGGATCGGGACCTCCTTCGTGTCATCGGGTTTCTTCTTGGGAAGATACTGGGCTGGTGGTTTGGCTGTAGGGCTAAGGAACTCGAAGACCTCCGCTCCTCAGATTGAGGAGAGGACTTGAGCGCGCCATAGTGGGAAGTTCCCACGGGTCAGTTTTTCGCTGACCGGCAGGAAACCGAGGGAGGAAAGGACGGCGTGCTGCGCGGCGGAGGAGGACATGATGAAAGCTCCGTGAGGAGATAGGCTCTAGATACCATGTAAAGATTTGGGTTAACGAGTAACCTTTCCCTGGTCCTCGGTTTCATGTTATATAGGCCGGGGAACAGCCCGCACGGTGGTGGCATGTTATACAAGAGTTGTTACAGATTTGTTATAAGAGATAAGATCGCTAGCTACAAATTAGGAACTGATTCTATCTACAAGATACAATGTACATAGACACAGGTGAAGATATCTATCATCTAACACCACGCACGACGACACTGCTCCTGTCGACTGTGATCGCGACTGTCAGGCCGCGTTTAGTTCTAAACCCAAAATCCTAAAAAGTGCTACAGTAGCCATCACATCGAATCTTCCGATACGTGCATGGAGTATTAAATGTAGACGAAAAAATTAATTGCACAGTTTGGTGGAAAATCACGAGACGAATGTTTTGAGCCTAATTAGTTCATGATTGAACACTAATTGTTAAATAAAAACGAAAGTGCTACGGTAGCCTAAATTCCCAAATTCGGCCGACTAAACACGGGCTCAATGCTCCGGATGTGAAGATCCTGAGCCTCCAATAAATGCACCGGCAGGCCGCAGGGGGTAGGCAGCCATGAAGCAAGGCAGAAGAGTTCTCTGTTGTGGTTGGAGACAGAACTAAAGTATAAGAGACGTCTTTTCGAATATCACATGAAGTATCGCACAGGATATTCGAATACTAATAAAATAATAAATTATAGAATCCGTCAGTCATTCGCGAGACAAATTTATTAAACCTAATTAATCTATCATTAGCACATGTTTTCTATAGCACCATATTATCAAATCATAGACTAATTAGGTTTAAAAAATTTATCTCACAACTTAATCTCAATCTATGTATTTAGTTTCATAATTAGTTTATATTTAATACTCCATGCATGTGCCAAACATATGATAAGACAATGACTAAAGTTTAGGAGGTGGAACAAACACCCCAGCACCATGAGAGGCGGTCTTCCCGTCCTCATGGACCGGATATCCAGTACTCCCTTTTACCCTAAATATCTATCGTTTTTGTTTCTCGAGAAACAACTTTAACTAAATATATATTAAAAAATATTATTATTAATGGTACATAATTAGTATTATTAGAAAGATCTTTGAATCTAGTTTTTAATAAATTTATTTGGAGATACAAATGTTGCACGTATTTTCTACAAATCAAATCAAACTTGTGGCACGCACACCAATAACAACAGTTATTTAGGGACAAAGGGAGTAGTCCTGATTTATCCTATATATATGTAGATTCAATTTTATAATATTTATTGTAGTTGCCTCATAGATGCACAATCAACATTGGATTTATTTTAATTTTAACAAGCAATACTGTTGACAGCCAAAACTGTCAAAGGAAGCTGAGTTCAGAATTTCCAGCGGCTTATTTTCCAAACCGGCTAAGCCAATTTTTACACTTTGTCAAAATACAAACTAGACTCCATCATTGTGTTTCTCTCATTGAGACACGATTAAAGAAATATATAAATCGTCTAATTTAGAGTCTGGAAGAAAAAAATTACAACCTTGGGAGAATTATCCAGTAGAAACAAGCTAAGCTGGTTTTGTAAAGTTATCTAAATTTAAGAATGGACTTCACCATTCTGCTTTATCTCGTCAAGACGATTGAAGAACATATATAGATCGCCTAATTTGAAGTCAAGATGAAGAAAACGTGGATGGAGAACAATTTAAGCCAGTTTTCCTTGTCCGAGTTCAATTTAAAACTAATTTAGTGTGAACTTACCCAATCTTGTGTGAATTACATATTTCGTTCGGAAAAGGTTTGATACTGGGATAAAACCACCTATCTATGTATACTAGAGAATCACGACCGATTGAGGTAATCCAACTACACAATGTAGTACATACTCCTTTTCCCAACTTAAGCTCTTCCATCCTATATGTTGCTGTTAATCGCTTGATCCGACGACCAAGGATGACATCCTAGGTTAGTTACCTGACCTCGGACAACCCGCCGATATCCTTGGCACGGCGTCTCTCCCTGGTGTGAGCTTTGACGACTCCTTTGTTAGGGCTTGTTTGAATCCTCTCAGATTCCACAATCTAGCTTCTAGAAGCTATGATCTTTTTTTAGACGAAAGAAGAATTATATTAAATTATAGCTAAGTACATCATCATGTTACAAGCACTCTGGAATACAATACGTATACCTAGAAATTGTTCTTTATCTACATTGTACACATGCTTCATATAGCTCCAAATCTCAATCCCAAACCTATATGACAATTCATATGGATGATCACATAGGTAAACACTCGGCAAAGAAGAATTATATTAAATTATAGCTGAGTACATCATCATGTTACAAGCACTCTGGAATACAATACGTATACCTAGAAATTGTTCTTTATCTACATTGTACCCATGCTTCATATAGCTCCAAATCTTAATCCCAAACCTATATGACAATTCATATGGATGATCACATAGGTAAACACTCGGTAAAAGGCCTGAGAACAGGTGCTCACCGAACGGGATCCAACATTCTTATAGGTGGAATTGAGCATAAACTTCTTCTTTCTTGGGTCTTCCTTCTTCTTCCTTCTGCCACGGAAGAATAAGAAAAAATGATCTGAATTTTTCAACTCAATACCATTAATTGGCTTAAGGGGCAAACTTATTCTCACTTGTGCTTCATCGTGGTCAGATCCAACCAAAACAAACGGAGAAGAGACCGGAGAAAATTATTCCATCGGTGGCAACATCGTCTCCGCCTTGATGTCGCCGTACAAAAACCTAAATGTCCATGTCGTCATGTCAAGGAAGTTGCTGACCCTGTAGTTGTTATCTTCATCTTCATTAGAGTCATCATGGAGAAAAACCAAATCCACCGTACCTCTTCGTCATCGCCGAAAAAAGGAGACAAATCCCCAATATTAAAAAACTTGGCATGGAGAGACCCTAACCTTGTGATGGTATCCAAACAGCCACCAACTTTATAAGCCAAGTTCCACAATCTCAAAAGGTAAATTAACCTAGCCTGTTCGGCTGGTATTAAAGCCGACCGATAAGCCGTCCTTGGCTGATTTGTTGTGAAAGAAAAATATTGTAGATTCTAGCCGATAAGCCGACTGATAAGTTCAAGCGAACAGGCCTCTATCAACTTCTAAAAGTTAGCGTGGATCCAAACGTAGGCTTAGTTTGCTCAAAACTAGCCATTTTTTTTGTAACGTAGGTGCGATAACCATTCTTTTGCTGGTAAACCTTTTAAAATACAAATGTAAATGCTATTTTTATAAATTTAATCAAATTTGAAATTATTTGATTTCTCGATGTTTTTTTTGAGGGGGGTGAGCGGTCGTTTTTTTAGTTCATCTCAAATCTTCAAGGTAGGTTCTCCTTGGATGCTCCCATTCCCATCCCACCCGGTGAGCCAAACACTATAGAAAATACAGTACTCAAGCGGAATAGTTTCTTCGGAGGCGTGTCGTTAACATTATTATTTTTCCTACTACTCAATGTGAGTGTAAGTAACCACTAACAAGCAATGTTTTAAATGAGAGAGTCCTTCAGCTGCGAAAGGACGAAGAGGAAGAGCTTAAGGCCCCGTTTAGATCTAAATTTGTAACATTTTCGTTTGTATTTGACAATCAGTGTTTAATTATAGACTAATTAGGTTCAAAAGTTTCGTCTCGCGATTTCTCACTCAACTGTGCAATTATTTTTTTTTTGTCTACATTTAGTATTCCATGTATGTACCGTAAGACTCGATGTGATGGGTACTGCGCAAAATTTTTTGAAATCTAAATGGGGCCTAACTATTCGCCGTATTTTTCAGTTTTTGAGGGAAGCGGGCTTGTACGAGTGGCAGTGGTAGCAGGGTCAGGTTCAGGTCGTCAATGCCGCACTGCCCACTGCAGTCTGCCCTCTACAGGCCCCTGCAGCTGTAGTGCTGCACGATATCACAAGCCTCCTGCCTCGTGGAAAAGATCGCAATTTCCCGAAGTGCACCACGATCCACAAAAACTCCAAGAAAAGGTCCTAGGCTGGAGGATGAGATCATTCATAACAGCACGATCTTGAAGCCAATAGTCCCATGGCGGGATCCAGCAGCTGTGGGAGTGCACGTTCGTGATCCGACGGTCTCCACTGGCCTATCCATATCGCTCGCCCGCGTGGCAGTATAAATGGCGAGCCCCGCGCCGGCCATCGCCATTTCTCCACGCAAGCCACTGCCTCCGCCCCACTCGACTCGATCAGCACTTTCAGTTCAGCAGCTGCGTAGCGTAGAGCCACAGGGATGGAGGCGTCGGAGCTGGCGGCGGTGGTCGGCATGGTGGCGGAGTGCCTGGACGCGGAGGACTACGACGAGCACGAGGGCATCACGGAGGAGTCCGTCGCCGAGCTCATGAGCTGGTTTGAGCTCGAGATCAAGCTCGCCGCCGGGGCCAACGCTCTGCCGCTGCCGCCGCCGACAGTGAGCGAGAGAAAGGAGAGCTGTGGGCCATCGCTGTCGGGGCCGGCGTCCACGGTGATGGCGTCCGTGGACGGGCGTGCGGGTGCGCCGCCGGCGCCACCCCTGGCGGAGCCGTGGCCTTGGACGTGGCCAGTTCCCGAGCCAGTGGCGGGAGAGGAGGAGGAGGATGTCGATGATGAATGGGTTTCGCAGCTCCTGACGGATGGGCCGCCAGTCGAGGGGCAGCACGGTGGCCAGTAGCAGTGCGTGTACTGTACTTTAGGATTCTTCTGTACTCGTAACCGATGCTTTAGGCGCGCTTGTGTAGTACTGACTGGTGCGTAGTAGATTGGGTCTCTTTCAGTTCGTACTGTTTGTGAATTGTGATGACCGATGAAGCGAGAGTACAACTACTATTGTGTGCTTTTTAATTTCAGGTGGTACAATTGTGCTAGAAGTAATAGAGTTGGGATTGAAGCAATTGTGGAAGAGTGGAAGTTGGACGAACAGCAAGCGGAGGGAATTGGGGTGAATCGGCGAGGAGTTCTTAGGCAGAGTTCAGTTGGTTCATACAAGTTTGATACTCCTCGTCACTCACTTTGGTCTACTGATATACTGGCGATTACATGAGCTACGCCCTGGACTCATGCACACAGACACTCACGCCCACATCTCACCGGCGACATTCTTGTTGGGCCGACGCTCACGTGCTCCTTTGCATAGGGACTTCGTATTGTTGGCCGGCCGTAGTATTTGGGCTGCTAACATTCCCTGGGGCTTGAGTAGCTGCTTGTCCCCAAGCAGGAGCTCTGGGAAAAGCTGGACGAAGAGATTCCAGCGATTCCCAAGTTGCCATTTCCTTCGGCCAACCAGACCATAGCACCCGTCCTTGCTCAACGGGGTTGGAGTCCACCGATATCACTCGGCGCTGCAGGATTTCCTCTGGAATACGATGAAGTTCAATGTCAGCAGGAAGAGAAGGGGTTACCAGAGTACCAGGAAGTATAGCTTGCTTCAATTGGGACACATAAAACACCGGGTGGATGGAGGTTGGTGATGGCAATTCTAGCTTGTACGCTACAAAACCCACTCGAGCAAGTATTTTGAAGGGTCCATAATACTTGAAGGCCAGCTTCTGATTTGCACGAGCAGCTAAAGTGGATTGAACATAGGGTTGCATCTTGAGGAACACCATATCACCCACCTAAAACTGCCTCTCCGAGCGGTTCTTGTCGGCTTGACGCTTCATGCGTTCCTTTGCTCTGGACAGGTGCTGGAGGATGAGATCATTCATAACAGCACGATCTTGAAGCCAAACAGAGAGGTCAGGCACCGTAACAGCATCCAGAGCAGATTGGCCAAAATGGCGTGGAGGATATCCATATAAAGCTTCGAATGGAAAAATACCAATGGCAGAGTGGGTAGAGGCATTATACCAGAACTCGGCCAAAGGAAGCCAGGTGGACCACTTGGACGGACAAGCGTTGACAAAGCACCTCAGATAGGTCTCCATCGACTAATTCAGTTGTTTGGTCCGGCCATTAGACTGCGGATGGTAACTGGAGCTCATCTGAAGTTGCACATCTGCCAGTTTGAATAACTCCTTTCAAAAATGGCTTGTAAAGATGCGATCTCGATCTGATATAATGGCAGTAGGAAGACCGTGTAGCCGATAAACTTGATCCAGGAACAACTTGGCCACACCAGCCGCAGGGAAAGGGTGGGACAATGGCAAGAAATGACCGTACTTGGTGAAAGAGTCAATCACAACCTATATATAGTTCACCTGCTTAGATCAGGGAAGGCCCTCCACAAAGTCAAGAGAAATGATCTGCCATGCAGCAGCCAGCACTGGTAGTGGTTGAAGTAAACCAGGAAGTCGCGAATGGTCCAGCTTGGCGCGCTGGCAGGTGATACAGGAGCTGACAAACTCACGAACTGCCGTCTTCATGCCGTGCCAGGCAAACAAACGCTTCATACGTGTATACGTTGCTGGAAATCCGGAATGCCGACCCAGTGCGCTGGAATGATAGGCCTGAATAAGCCGCTAGTGCATTGCTGGGTTCTCGCCAATCTAGATATGGTTATGGAGACATAGAACCCCATCACGCAGTGAGAAGTTGGGCACAGATTGTGGATCAACTACCAGGCGAGCAATCATAGACTGAGTAAAAGGATCATTAGCATACCCTTCTGTTACCAGCTGAATCCACTACGGAGTAACCACGGACAATGCGGCACAAGATGACTCAGGATCAGACCGGCGGGAGAGAACATCGGCTGCCCGATTTGCACTGCCAAGCTTGTAAACGATACGGTACTGAAGCCCCAATAGTTTGGTAAATAGCTTTTGTTGCCACGGGGTATGGAGTCGCTGATCAGTTAACTGCACCAGGCTTTGTTGATCAGTGAATATAGTGAACTCGCTGAACTGTAGATATTGGCGCCACTGCTGAACAGCTAGCAAAACTGCCATGTACTCATACGTGCTCAACCCACGTGACCGAGGCCCCAAGGCACGACTGATGTATGCGAGTGGGTGACCATCCTGAGTAAGTACAGCTCCAATTCCCAGCGCTAGCATCAGTTTCTATAGCAAAAGGCCGAGAAAAGTTAGGCAATGCGAGAACTGGTGCTGAGATTAATGCTTGTTTCAGTGCCTGAAAGAACTGCTCATGGGCTGGTGTCCAATGAAAGATTGTGTTCTTCTGGAGGAGTTCTATCAGTGGCTTTGCAATGAGGCCAAAATTCCTTACAAATTTGCGGTAGTAGCCGGCTAGCCCCAAGAAGCCCCTCAATTCTTTAACAGACACAGGAGTAGGCCAACTGGATACCGCTGATATCTTCTCTGGATCTGTAGCAACTCCATCACTAGAAATAACATGTCCCAGATATTGAATACTGCGCTGGGCAAACGCACATTTGGACAGCTTTGGTTTCCACTCATGTCCTAAAGCAACTGAAATACTTGCTGGATGTGTATAAGATGCTCTTCATATGTCTTGCTGAAGATCAAGATATCATCGAAGAATACTAGAACAAATATGCGTAAGAATGGGGCCAAAGTTGAGTTCATTGCTTCCTGGAATGTACCCAGGGCACCAGTTAACCTGAAAGGCATGACGCGAAATTCGAATGGACCAAAATGAGTCTGGAACGCCGTTTTGTACTCTTCACCCGGCTGTAACAGAATCTGATGGAATCCTGATCGCAGGTCCAGTTTGGTAAACCAAGAAGCTTATCCTAATTCATCAAGTAATTCATCTATCAACGGCACCGGGTATTTGCTCTTCATTGTAATAGAGTTTAACTGCCTGTAGTCCACACAAAATCGCCAGGTATTATCCTTCTTCCTTACAAGCAAGACAGGTGAAGAGAACGGGTTAGAGCTTTTCTGTATAAGACCTGAAGCAAGCATTTCATGAACTTGTTTCTCGATTTCATCCTTAACTGCTGGAGCAAAGCGGTAGGGCCTACAAAACACTGCACCAGCTCCCTGGACCAGAGGGATGGAATGATCAGTTGCCCGAGGAGGCAGCTGGGAAGGTTGCTGAAATAGCACATCAAAATCATGCAGGAGCTGCTTAATCTCAGGTGTCCATGTATCAGGTGGAATTGCATCAGATGTATCTGTTGCACGCAACTGTATAATAGATCCCTCTGGAATAGAAGACAGTAAACGATGCGGCTGAACTGTGGTACCCTCATAAGGAATCTTGAGCCATTGGTGAGGCCAGTGAACTTGCATGGGGCTGTGACTCTCTAACCAGTCTAAGCCCAATATCATGTCATAAGAGGATAGCGGCAGCACCTTGATATCAGACTTGAATTGCAATCCCTGAACAGAACATACTGCAGAATTAATGAATTGAGTACAGGACAAAACCTGACCATTAGCAACTTGGACCTGAACATGGTTAGACAGGGGTGCCAAATCTTGCATATGAGCAGCAACAGATTCACTGACAAATGTATGAGAACTTCTCGAATCAAGTAGTATACGAATTGGGACTGAGCCGAGAAGACCATCAAAGCACATAGTGCGAGGAGCAGATACCCCAGAAACTGCAGCCACGGACAGAATCAACTGAAGCTATGCTGGTTCAGATTCTTCAACCACCGCGTCAGAAGGCTCGGCTGATTCTTCCAACGAGAATAATCCCAAAACTTCCTCCAATACTTGAAGTTGAACAGCTTGAGGGCACCTGTGATCCCGTGACCATTTACTGCCACAGCGGAAACACAGCCCTTGAGAGTGCCTGAGCGAACGCAGGGCCGCCCATCTTTCATCAACAGATGGAGCTTGGCCGATGTCCGGAGCAGGCTTGAGTTCCACCGGCGCCGCAGGTTTGTCGACGCGTGCCGGTGGTAGAGGTAGAGGCAGGGCCGTCCTAGCGAACGGCTTGGCTCCGGACGATATGTCCCACTTGCGAACCTCCGGCTTCCACGGCGCGCTCAGGTCCTCCTGCAATTGTGCAAGGACACAAGCAGTATCCCAGCTTGGGGGCATGCAGAGAAACAGGTGCACGAATGTGATCTTTCAAGCCATCTATAAACCTCATGGTGTAAAACAATGGATCTGTAGTTCTATGATAGGCCCCTAACTGATCAACAATAGCAGAGAATTGTTCTATATACTCAGCTACTGTGCCAGTTTGGCGGATTTAGAAAAGCTGGTGTAACAAGAGCTCATGGTGATCCTTCCCAAAACGATTCATGACCATTGTGGACAGAGTTTTCCAACTACACCCCTGAAGCTGAGATTCTACAGAATTGTACCAGCGCTTAGCAGCCCCAACAAAATGCAAGCGAGCGATACGCACCCATGAAGTGGACTCAACATGATAGAGGCTAAAGTAATCTAAGCAATCACTGAGCCATAGCTTGGGATGATCACCATCAAATCTAGGAAAATCAACCTTAGGAATTTTGGAATTGGAATTCCCATGATACCCTGAATTGGGAGGATCAGAACTAGACGCATGCATGGTAGGAGGTGGGACAGGGGGTTTAGGAAGTGGATGCTCACCCTTGACCGGGGAATGAATTAGGGTTGAAACAACCCCAAATCCACTCTCCCGGTACTGATTTGCAACGCCGGGCCCAACCACGAGCAGTGCAGCCGAAGGCTCAACGGACGACGTTGAGTCGCTGCGGGAGACACCGCGAACACACCGGACTTGTCTTCCGGGTGGGCGATGCTGGCGCACTCCCAACCGAGTGAGATCTTCTTCACCTCGAGGCGAATGTCGTCAACGGTGCCCTCGATGCTCGGCCGCCACTCGTCGAACGACGCTGCCGCCTTCTCTAGAGCAGAGACGCGGGCGTCCTGCGCCTGCTCTAGATCCTTGATCTGGCGACCCAAGCGCTTCTCCTGGTCCTCGAATCGCTGATCCCACTTGAGGTCATGATCGGTGAAGCGCCTGTGGAGTTCGTCGAGGATGAGTTTGGTTTCCGGGTTCATCACGCCTAATCGGTGTTGGCGGTGGGTGAAGTTGTCGTGGGGAAGTGGATCGGGATGGTCCAGGCTGCCTACTCTCCACAAATCGCTCGAGCGTGGAAGGGAATTACAGCGACTTCAGATCCGAACAGCAGCTCACTGCGCGGATCGAAATCAAGCCGACCGGATCCGGTGCTCAAGCAATCGATGGGATGCGAGTAGTCAGTGGAATCGCCGAGGAACGGTGTCTCCGATACCAATTGTTAGCAGCAATAGAGCTGGGATAGGAGCAATTGTGGAAGAGTGGAAGAAATTGGGGATCGAGTTGGACGAACAGCAAGTGGAGGGAATCGGGGTGAATCAGCGAGGAGTTCTTAGGCAGTTTGATACCCCTCATCGCTCACTTCGGTCTACTGATATACTGGCGATTACATGGGCTACGCCCTGGACTCATGCACACAGGCACTCACGCCCACATCTCACCGGCGACATTCTTGTTGGGCCGACGCTCACGTGCTCCTCTACGAGGCTTGCTGGTGACTTCATCATGTGGGCCGGCCGTAGTATTTGGGCTGCTAACAAATTGGGATCACAGATGTGAATTTGAAGATTTTAAATTGGAGCAGAATAACAATTTTGACTTATTACATTCCCTTGCTCCCCTTGTTTAGTATTAGTGGACTGTGGTTCAGTATTAAGGAACACCATGCCTGCATTATGTGGCTGTGTAGGTTATATAAGCAGCAAATTTGATGACAGTATTCTTCATCTTTTAAATCCGTTGTAATTATTTGTACTGTTGTATCAATGCAGGAAGCTGAAATAGCAAACCTGTGTGTGCATTCCTGTTTGAAAATTTTGATCCAGTACACAGTGTTGTGCTGTCTTATTACATCGGCTGCAGGTCAGCTAGCAGCATGATTTGTTAGGCACAGGACTCTTAATCTTTAGTGGACCGTGTAATGCTATATTCTGAACCCTTTGCCAAGCAATGAGGAGTATGAAAAATAATGCACTATTACTGGATTTGTTTTATTTATGGTAACTGAAATCATCTTTGTCAACTCCCATGCATTGCTTTATGATTCCAAATGTCTGATATCGATAGTGGTGCTCAGTCAATTGAGATGCAGTTTAATGAGTTAATTTGGAGCACACAGATGTCAATTTAGTGGTTGTGGATGGATATTGAACTTGTTATTTTTTCCCTGTTCCTTGTTTGATTCTTTTTGAGCACACATGTTCAGTATAGCAAATATACTTGTTCTCTGAATATACACAGCAAATATACTTGTTTGCTGAATATATACTGTACATATACATGAATTTACATCTTGAAGTACATACTTTCTATAGCTTAACATGTTCAGAGAACTACTTGTTCCCTGAATATATGTTCCACATCTCTCTGAATATATATCTCTTAAGGCAGAAGTGATGTTACTGGATTGTACAGTGGCAACAAACAAATATGTTTCAGTTCTTCAATCCATTCGTTCACGAACTTATCAACTGAACATGTTCAGAGAAGTACTTATTCTCTGAATATATGTCACAAGCTGGTACCACAATTGTGCCCAGGGGAGGAGAGCAAAGAGCCGGTGCCACAATTGTGAAAAGGCTTGAAGGTGAGAACAAAATTTCCCTTTTGACAGTGTTTGCTGCATCAATTCGTTTATATTCTGCACTGTGATTGTTGTTTCCTCAGGATTCGGTGCGAAACAAAATGTGGGAGATCCACAACTGATGCTGTTGTTGAAGGTTTTTGGCTAATTCAAAATTGATTTGGTCTGTTTCCTACAGTTTTCCTCCTGTGGTGCACAAATCTACTACTCCTCCCTTCACTGCTAGTACGGATCGTACCTGGTGACCAAACTGCAGGTTGCCTTTTAATTTTTTTTGCCTGCCCCGACGATTCTCTGGGAGCAATGCAAAAGAAGCAGGCTGCACTGACGACTGCAGTACTGCCGCCTCCGGCTTTTCTGCGGCTAGAGAAGATCGGCCAACAGGAAAACGGGGCATGGGTTGCATTAGGGTTATTTTTTCTTAACTCTTTGTCTTCTCTAATTGGACTCTAATTAGGCTTTTGTTTAATCCCATTAGACCCAGAAAACATTAAGTTAATTTTTTTTAGATATTACACTTACTCAACAGCCAACCAGGGGAAAATATCGAGGACGTGGCTAATGCCTGGACGTTTGGATGCTAGCACATGTCCGAATGTCTGCGCCTGTCCCGTCCGCCTCGCATGCGGCTCGCGTCTGCGCCTGCTACTCCCTCCCTCTCTCTTTGTTCGTGTCCGAACGCCTGCCCACATACTTCGCATGCTGCTGCACGCTCGTGCCTGCTGCTGCGCATGGACGTGGGGACCGCCCCGCACGCGGGGACCTCCTTTGCCTGTGCTCGCTCTCCTCGCCTGGCAATGAAAACACTTGCAACATCAAGCAATTGCTGCAAAATATGTTTGAAACAGGTGACATTTGAAACATAAGCTTGCAACATATGCTTATAGCCACCACAACATATGCACCATCTAGTTAAAACACTTACCACATACGTGTGAAATAGATGAAAGATTTAGAACATACACTTGCAACATACGTGTATAGCCACTGCAACATACGTAATATTAAGATAAAACACTTGCAACTAGCAACATAAAAACATTTGCTACAACATAAGACTATGAAACATTTAGAACATACTCTTACAACATATGTGTGAAATATATAAAACATCCAAATCTTACAATATACATTTGAAACAGATGAAATATTTTGAACAAACGCTTGCAACATTCATCTGAGACACTTGCAACATATGCAACATGTGCAACATCCTGATCTCATTTTGCAACATCCGTATAAATCACTTGCAACATACCTCTGAAACACTTGAAATGTACATTTGCAACATGAACTTTCAGCGCAGTGCAACATCTCGATCCTTGCTACTTGGGAGAATGGAGGCTCGTTGCCATGTGGAGTTGAACAGAGGCAGCACCCTGATGGTGGCTGCCCGACGCGGCAAGGAGGAAGCGCCCCACGACTGGGAGAGGGAGCCAGATCTGCCGAGGAGCCACTCGTGCCAGGCCTACCACACTGGTCCACCCGTGACTGGGGCCATCGGCGCCGTTGCGCCGCCTTGTCGCCGTAGTCCAAGGACGCTCGCCCGCACCGCAGCGAGAGAGAGATGGAGGGAGTAGCACTGGAGGCACGCGCGTGCGAGAGAGAGAGAGAGAGAGAGAGGAGGTAGGGAGACACAAGAGAGTGGAAAGGTGGCTGATATTTTCCAAGGCACACATGAGGGCGAGAGAGAGGAGCGGTGGCTGATATTTTCCAAGGCACGTATGCGGACGATATATGTACAGGCGCGGGCGGGTTGGGGTCCGTCCGGATGGACGGACGTCTTCAGCCTATCATTATCGAAACATCAAGCATAGACAAGAGGTTAGAGAGGGAGACTCGCTCTCACCGATGTTGTTTATTCTTGCCGTTGATCCACTCCATTAAATTTTATACTTGGCTACTTAACATGGAGTGCTCACCCTGATACCCATCCAAAAGGCCACAGTTCAGAATCAGAACTGCCTGTATGTAGATGACGCGGCTACTTTCCTGAATCCACTGAGAACCGACCTTGAGGCAGTCCAAAATATCCTGCTTTCCTTTGGTCAAGCGTCGGGGCTAGTCACAAATTTTGGAAAGAGCTCTGTTCATCCAATACATTGCGAGGGCATCAATCTAGATTACATCCTAGAGCCTTTTCCAGGGGACAGAAAGTCCTTCCCGTGCAAGTACCTTGGGCTCCAGCTCCATACACGTTCACTACAAAGAGTCCATGTGCAGCCTTTAATTGGGAGGAAGATTAGCAAGAGACTACCCGTCTGACAAGGTTGCCTATCGAACAAGGCTGGCAGATTCACCCTTGTCACCTCGGTGCTATCCTCCGTAGGTAAAAATGGTACGGATATTTTCTGACCGTATTTGAGATCAAATCTATTTAGAGGGGCTGGATATTCAACATCCGATACCGTATTCGTATCCGAATACTCAAATCGCATATTTATGATGTCGATATCCAATCGTATCCTATCCGATATGGTTGCGTATTCGAATCCAAATCCTGATAGAAATATGAAAACAAATGTAATATCAATAATATCCGTTCGTATCCGATCCGTTTTCATCCCTACTCCATACCCACATATTTACTTACTATTTTCCCTCTACTGACTTGGGCTAGGAAGGAAGTCGATAGGATCCGCTGGTCCTTCCTTTGGAAAGGAAAAGAAAAGGCTAACGGAGGACACTGTCTCATCAATTGGGAAAGGGTGAAATGCCCCAAGAGACTCGGCGGACTAGGGATCTTGAACCTACAAAATGTGGACGAGCTCTCGGGTTACGTTGGTTGTGGCTCGAGTGGGTTGATGACTCCAAACCTTTGGTAGGCACGGATACCCCTTGTGACGCCACTGATCGCCTGCTCTTCAACGCATCTACCATAGCCACGGTGGGAAATGGAAAATAAGCCAGATTTTGGCATAACAGCTGGTTGTAGGGTGCAGCCCGAAGAACACTAGCACCAAAGCTATACAACCTTGTTAAGCGCAGGGGGACGTCCCCGCACGCGTGAAGAACAGCAGGGAGCGCTCCTTTCTCTCGAGCGCTCCCCTGGGGCGACTCGGGGGGCGACCGCCCTAGCGCCACTAGGCCCCCTCCCCGCCTCCACCTCCGGCCACCGCCGTCGCCCTCCGGCATGCGGCGGCGGTGGCCCACGACGGTCCCCCAAAAAACGAGTACTGTTCGCAGCCATCTCTTCCCCCCCCACTCCGAATCCCCCCATCCTCTTCAACTCTGGCGACTCCGGGTGGCCGCCGGCCAGATCCGTGGCCCCCGGGGCCGGATCTGGCATCCATGACCCGCACTCGACATGGTGACCGGCCTCGGTGTGTTCGACGTCGGCCGGGTCTGGGGCAGTCTGTGGCTGGCGGTCGACGGAGCTTCAGTGGGGCGTGGCCAGCT